AAGGAGGCCGGGTCGAGGACCGGGCCGCAGGAACACTAAGCCCCAAAATCATCTCAAGATAACCTCAAGAAGGAAGGTTGGTTCAAAAGATTACAAAGGTTGAAGACAGTAAGGAAGCCCAAGTAAGGATGATGGAGCAGCCCTGATGATTTACACTGATGATGATCTGAGGGACGTGCGCCAAAGGCTTTAAGAAACTCGTCAAACACTGCCAAGTACTGGTTCCAACGTATATTGCCTCTGAATGTATATTGGGCAGAGCTAAACAGTCAAAGATCAGCTATATATAAGAAACGGTAATAACCCCTCCACCATCATTACCAGCTATTAGTGTTGATGTAAACAATATTAGCTAGTAGAACTAGTTAATTCTACTATTTTTGACTTTCAGGTAAGTAGAGTGTATTTTCTTTTATCCTTTTAATAAAAAGAGGAGAGGGGAGGAAGGTAAGAGTTGGAACCTATTTTATGTCCATATATATGTCCAAATACTATTTAAAAAAATAGTTTTTTTAATACTTATTAAGACTACTCAATAGCTCGGTCGCTAGAGCTTCAGCCTCACACACGCGTTGGGTCAGCGGTTCGAGTCTCCTAGAGCCCAGGTGAATGGAATGAAATACTATTTATAACTGGCTAATTTACAATTGAGCCAAGAATCTTACACTTAGTTAAGAGCTGTGTATTATATACTAATATTATTCTCACTACCAATTTATTCTGACTGAAACCAATTTGAATATACAGTGCAGCATTCACGGTATGAGATTCCCCGTACAATGTAACAAGTGAGTAAGCATTACATTATTAGTGTCAAACAGTACCACCAACTACCAAGATGACGGTAGACACGGCAAGCTCAGCCTCCTGCCAAAACATAGTAACAAAGTAAGGAAAGTTCATCTGATGCTGTGATGTGAATTATCTGTGTTATTTTTCTTGCAAGTTTTAACTGAAGTGCACAATAAAAATAACTATGCAAATGTGGATACCTCTAAAACTAAATGATTTATGAGATGGCTTTCAGAATTGTCTGTCTTTAATTTCAAATCGAGCCAAAAACCAAAAAGTCATATGCAAACAGAATTAAGGTTCGCATTTTAAATAATAATGCTAGGTCTACGAGTATTTGACAAGTACTAGTAGTAATTTCTCAAACTGTAGACAATAGCAATAATGACTTGTCGTGGGGACTTTGTGAGGGAACCTGCTAATTACCTTCATAAATAAATAAATACAAATTTGACTCTCCAATTAAAGAACTCAAGTTAGAAATATTGTACGGTACTCTTCATACAATGGAACAATTACAAATACAATATTTGCTTATACATCCACAAATGTGTGTGTTAATATATACAAGTACAGTACATAATGGAGTAATTATACTCCATATAATATATAGTGCAGTAATTGTATTACAGCAGTATAAAAACAATTACATACTGCAAGAAATTATAGGAGGCATTCACCAAACATAAGCTAAACTTTATTATTCAAGAAAGTTATACATGCTCCATTCTATTTTAGTTACCAGTCTTTAATTATATTAAAAAATATATTGTTCAAACAAAAATAAATTGCTTTCGAAAAATTCAAATGCTGAAATAGGCAATTTTGAACATAAAAATAGTATATATGACTATAAAGTACAGCATTACAAAATTCTAATGAATAAACAAAGAAAAAAATCCATCAGAATAACACCAGAGCAGGTTTCAACTTCATATACTTGCTCTAACCCCCTCTACTGTGCTCACCGAGATATCTCGTTTGACAGATGGTGCACTCGGTGAGAAAACTCGTTTGTAGGCATAGCGAATGATTCACAACTCCCATTGGTACACAGAGCTCACATCCTGTTCTTCAGGCCTTTAATGTACAGATGCTAGCTTGAAAAAAATTGTCTGCATCCCTCTTGGCAGCAAGAGCCTTAGTATTGAATGAGTGACTAAGGGTGGGACATGCAGCAGCAGCTCGCAGTACCGTCATGCAGCTCAGGGCCACAGCACCACTAACTAATCATGAATAAAACAAGTAACTGTAATTATTTTGTGATGATACTATCATAGATGATCCTGACTGTGATAAAGACCATGTACAAGGTTTATATATCAGTGAACACATTGCTAGTTATGATGTTCACAACATGAGGCCATTGTTTCGCGAATCAACGCATCATGAAAACGACCTCGTGCTTCCCTCCAAAATAAACTTGAGGAAAATGATTCATATTCAGGATTTAGTGACCAGGATTCTTATAATAATAGCAGCAATGTGCGTATCATATTGGAGACATTTTATCGAGTCAGGTGGTGTCATCAGCTAACTAGGGTATTGATGCTATGCGTTGTTTGGGCTCACCATACCAACTAAGTGGTTCATTATGATGTACATAAAATGTAAATAGTTATATATAACATATGTATATAGTGTAATAACAATAAAAACAGCATGGTTCGGTGTTCAAATATATTATTTTAACTAATATTAGTGACACGAATATACAGTACTGTATCTATGAATACAAATATTTTACGTGTTCTGTGAAACAAAAATTATTGACAGCCCAAGGCATCATGACAATTGAAAAAAACCATTGTAAAAACATTTAAAATAAGAATACTGTACTAGAGAGTATAATCACTGTGTGCTGTTACACCTTCATTCCAATTACAACTTTGCTATAATACGTGACTAGGACATACTCTGATAACCGTTTATAAGATTATTACACTCACCAGAAATGTTTAGTGGTTCATAATAGTGCATGAAATGTAGATAGTTATACTGTGTAATAACAACAAAATCACAGTTTTATTGTTCTAAGAATATAATATTTGTGTCACTAATGTATGCACCATATTTTTTACCTTAGCAATGTTCCACACATTGTGTTATATAAATTTCTCAAATTACATTATTGAATAATATTACTTAAACAAACTAAGAAAATACCATTCAGACATTGAAATAAATATGAACATATATCTTTTGCAGCAACTCTCACCCCATAATGGGGCCGGAGCAAGCACCACAGGTCAACTACTCCCTCAATGCCTTTGAATTGTGAAACTTCATCGCTCCATCATGGTCAAAGTCAGCCACATACAATTTTTTTTTAGTTCCTATAATCAGGAAATGATTTTTAACAATGTTAGAAAGAATTTTTTTTTTGGGGGGGGTGGGGGGGAATAATTCTTGTTGCACGCAGCACGAAATTGTCATGGTGCGTGTAACCACTGTATTGCATGGCAGTTGAATATGACAACTCTGTGTTGCACATAAGAGGCACGATGCCTCGGCTGTGTGCTGTGAATGTCTGCCTCCCACGATCATCGTAACTACCATTGTGTTTCCCAATATCGGAACCTTGTACATAGATTTTATTACGGTCAGGATCATCTATGACACTATTTTCACAAAATTAATTCCAGTTATTTATTTTATTAGCCATTAATAAGTGGTGGTGTGGCCCCCGACCTACACAGCTGTGCTGCGAGCTGCTGCTGCCTGCACCAGCCTTGGTCACTCTGGCAGCACCGAGGCTCTCACAGCCAGGAGAGATGCAGACAACTTTTGTTCAAGATGGCATCAGTTTATGGGATTCCTGAGGAATAGGATGTGAGCCCTGTGTACCTACAGAAGTTTTAAATCATTCTACTGTGCCTACAAATAAGTTTTCTCAGTGACTGCACCACCCGTCAACTGAGACATCTCGACAAACACAGTGCAGGGGTTTAAAAGCCGCACAGTAGTGGCTAAATTACACACAGGTACATAAATATTATGTGCACAAGCACATAATTATTATGCCTAAGATACATGTCTTAGGTATAATAATTAATGTAATGTACTAGGCATAAAAATTATAAGGTATAAGGTATGATGAACTAGTACCCCACCCACAGTCTCATAATTGATGGATTGCACTTGCAAAATGCATACTGTAGTCATTTTTGTCAAAAAGAAAAGAAATTTACTTCATTCACATTGAATATTCTCTACAACACAGTTACATGTGTTTAGGAGAATATATTATTAATGTTTGAGTTCTTAACATACTTGGTTGTAAACAGAAACAATAAGGTTTTGATGCTTGAACTCATAAATTATATAATACAAGTTCTTGCCTTCATTAGGGCCAAGAACATGGCTTAAAAGAAAAGTACCACAATATCTTTTAAAAAATGAAACTGATGAGATTTTTACAAAATTCTAAAAACATGATTTCTAAAAAAAAAAAAAAAAATCTATCTGGCATGTATCTTGGGACATTTCATTACACCATCCATCCTTATTGCTAAACCTCTTGGTCTGGATGGTAGAGTGACGTTCTCACTTCCTGCAGATCTACGATTCAATTCCCGACTGTCCAAGTGGTTGGACATTATTCCTTCCCTCCATACTATCCTTATCCTCGTATCCCTTCCAAATGCTATATAGTCATAATAGCTTAGTGCTTTCTTCTGATAATCACCCCCCCTCCAAATCCTTATCATAATCCAACCTCTCTTCACACTTACTGCACTGCAAAATTTGGCTGCGATTGACAGTATGTAAAAAATCTGGGACTTTGGCGACAATAAAAAATACCTCAATGGTACTGGTCATGGAAAAAAACAATTCAAATTTGAGACGTCAAATAGTGAGAATGTTCTGCATAACCAGCTGCATGTGTCTAACACAGTTACTGCAAATGAATTCCTCCAATACAAACACCTTAAAACTGTGTTACCATTGTAATGAATGCAACTTAATATACTAAGATGCACAGGGTGCTAATTAAATACTTTTGTTTGATATTCATATATCATCAGGCAATTACATGTACTGGACTGTTTTCAATACAAATTACAAAATATACAAATTAAAGGAATTTAAATTTACAAGGAAGTATTTCCCACTGTATCTGAAACATATGTAGTTCATTCACTAGTAATTTAACATCACTCTTGCAGAAACATCAACTTCTTAAAAGGATTAGTAAAAAGATCAGCCATAACATGCCATTTATTCAATCAACTTCAAAGACTGTGAATGTGTGCAAAACATGTTAGGGTGTAATTGTAAGTGTAATTACCTAAGTGTAGTTACAGGATGAGAGCTACGCTCGTGGTGTCCCGTCTTCCCAGTACTCTTTGTATCATCATGATCTGAAACTACTGATATTTTTAGCCTCTACCACTTTCTCACTTAACTTGTTCCAACTGTCTGCCATTTTGTTTATAAAAGCTAAATTTTAATGTGTTATTTTTTGTTTTGTTTCTTTAGGTTGAACCTATGTACATTGGTTGTGAAGTTGCAGTTTACAAAAGATCTTCTTTATTAATTTTGTAGATTCCTGTTACTATTTTGTGTGTAGTGATCATATCACGTTATTTTTCTTATGTCTTCAAGCTATGGTATATTCAACATTTGTAACCAAGCCATTTAGTTACATGTCTTTGCACCTTTTCCAATTTACTGATGTTTCTTGAGATATGGGCAGCATACAAAGGTTGTGAACCATTTCTCTAGTATTTCTTCATCCACGAATATAAAAGCAATTTTAAAGTTCTAACGAGTAGCACGCACACTCCACGACAATGTTATTTATGTGGACCTTAGGTGACAGCTTTCGATCTAGAACCACCCCTAAATCTCTCTCAGAATTCTTTAAAACTTTTCCACATAATATGTAGATTGTGTGGCCTATTATCTCCTATTCCACATCTGATAACGTGTCATTTATTCACATTAATTGCAATTTCTCATGTTACTCCACACACTAATTTGTAGGTTTTTCTTAAACTCCACTTTCCACCTTGTATTATGGACTTCTGTATATTTATGGCATTGGGAACACCACTTGCAGAGCTCACTCCAACACTAGCACCCAGATATTATGTGTTGCTCCTGACGCTCTGTAAGCCGTGTTGTCTGATTTTAGTTTGCAAAAGATTGTTCTGAGCATTTATGTGCCCCCCACTAGAAAGACAGACAGACAGTGAGAAAGAACGAGAGGGAGAAAAAGAGAGTAAGAGAAAGAGAGAAGAGAGAGAGTGAGAAGAGAGAGAGTGAGAAGAGAGAGAGAGAAGAAACAAAGCAGAAAGAAAGAAAGAAAGTGATATTGACGAAAGCAAGGTCGAGAAAGAAGAGAGTGTGATTGTTTGATTCAAATTTATAATAAACATTAATAATTTTAAACCAAAATTAATTTACTTTGATGGATTTTTATAATTTTAATACACAATACTGTATAATTTTATCACTGAAAGCAGTAGAATTCTTTATAAAAATATTAATTCATTATTACATACCCTTTAATACAATACAGTAGCCATACATACCTAGCAATACAGTAGCCACACATACCTGATAACACAATAGACACAGTATACTGTGGTAATACAGTAACTAAACCATATCCAGTAATACAACAGCCACAAGTCAAATATTATGCACTTTGTTATATGCAATGACTCCATTTAAATACCTTAATAAAAAGAATAATGGAAGATAAAACAGAATTCAGTATAATGTATGATAAGACTTCCCTAATAATGCATCATGTATGTTTAACTTTAACCATGAAATGGATTGTAACCTGTTGCTGAACATTGACATAATATATTACAATATAACAAATATATATAAATACTGTGAATATATATAAATATATACACAGTATATATGCTCTTGATAAAAGCTTAATTAAAAATAAAAAGATATGAGCTACTGAAAAATAATGGTGATAGTTCTGCTTAAATAAAGTAAACAAAAAAATGTAAATAAATATCACTTGTGGAGCAATTTATTGTATAGTGTAGCTAAGGCTACACTCTCAACACCAACCAAGTTTTACAAGTTTACAATTAATGATAAACTTGTACAAATGATTTGGTACTACTGTACTGTATGTGCTGACTAGCTCCAAATAAAAAAAAGTACACAAGCACGAAATCATGCACTATGCTAATGGCACTGATTTCTGCATGTGAATTGAAATCTAATTCGTTATTTGCAGGCAATGAGTCACAATAACGTGGCTGAAGTATGTTGACCAGACCACACACTAGAAAGTGAAGGGACGACGACGTTTCGGTCCGTCCTGGACCATTCTCAAGTCGATTGTGACCATTCCACAATCGACTTGAGAATGGTCCAGGATAGACCGAAACGTCGTCGTCCCTTCACTTAGTTTGTTATTTGTTTGAATTGGCTATCACATTTTTCAAACAAAACATAATACCCAAGTCTGTGTTAGAATATACTGGGGCACTTCAGTAAAGCACAGGGACATTCATTTCCCAAATGAGATCTAAAAGGTATAGGAAATAATACTATGCAATGTGGGTAGTGAACACCTATTCAATGCTTGTTTCCCTAAACGTTTACCATGTAAAATATTAACACACACACACACACAATATCTGCACTACACTTTATCAAGTTAAACCACAATCTATGCTAAAGGATGATACCCCACAAGACTCCACTTCATTCTCCTCAATGCTGCACCACTACCAAACTTGTCACAGTTTTAATGGACATTGCAAAAAAGGCAATTTATTGAGAAATATGAATTAAGGCAGCCTTAACTTTGATATGAGAATTTTATAATTTTATTGTACAGTTACTGATGCATGATCTTTATGTTGTTGAACAAATTATTTGGTTTTTCATGACTTGCAAAGAAGTACATTATTTTGTCCAAATGTAGGGTTTCAAGCACTGACTATTTTTAATCGCAGTTGTTGGCGCCTGTCTTCAAGTGAATACTGTCACTGAAATTCATCATCTGAAATAAGTTCAAAATCTTCTTCCAAGTCTGTAGTTGATTGTTGGTTTGGATCAAGTGACCTTGTCATTCTAGCAGGTGGCTGCTGTTGTCGTCTGGGCTGCTGTTGGCTAGTTGAGGGTGCACTTTGAGCACTGGATACAGAATGCCCTATCACAGAAGTAACTAGATTTTGCCCTAAAACAGACAAAACGTTACCTGCATTTTGAGCTATTACACTACTCATAAGCTGGCTTATAGGAGCCATTGTAGATGCAGGTTGGGGTTCATTAACTGCAGAACTTTGTGGGTATCGATATTCAGGTCTTATCTGACTTCGTTCTTCAAATGTGAGACCTTCAATGAAATCATCCTCTTCGTCACTACTGCCTCCAAAATGAGAAGAGACAAATTCCATTTGATAGCGATCACCTCCTGCCCCTTGCCTGTTTTGACTAGGTTCAGGTACTGGATGTGAAAGATCTGGTAGATCTAAATCAGGTCCATCCAGATCTTCAACACTGTCATGGTCATATGATGGGAAATCTTCGGGAAGTCCACTGGTAAAATACGTAGTACTGCCATCCTCTGTAAAAAAAAAAAAAAAAATCCAAATTATAAATATACAAGTGATTAGCTTAAAGCACCACCATCATCATAACTTGTTAAATTTCTGCTGTCATGAGGTAGGGAAGCATTTGTACATCTTTTTTTTTTACTTTCCTTGTCTTCTCTCAAAATTCACTTGAATATTCTTTTTACCACTTCTTTACATCCACTCTTTCAATATGACTGTACAATAATTTCCTCATTCCATTGACTGAGGAAAGTCACTGACAGTTCAATGACTTTCACACTCCAAATCTTTCCACAACACTATCAAGCCTTATTCCATCTATCCTCCCATCACCTCATGGTGTCTATCTTTACTGCTCTGATTCTAGTTCTGTTGAACTAGAATCAGAGCAGTAATGCACATGTCATGTAACCAATTCATGTAACCCTCTAGCCACATCTTTTCATATTGTCAGTATTACTACCAATTATTTTGGTAGTAATATGACTAACCAGGGATATCATTGCACCAGCCACTTTCCACTTTCCACTGGCTCACACTTTACTCTTGATTCACTTGCACAAATTTTTAATTAATCACTATACCAAATGTATTTAAACTCCTGAATAGCAGTTCCTTATTCTCCCCCATCTAATTTCCTATTTGTGGTACTCTTTATTGTTTTCTATTAACTAATGCTCCACTCTTACTTGTAGCAAGGAACTTCCTAATTTTGTCTTTCTGCTTCTTAATATGACCTGTAACAGCATATAGCCCAGGTGAACTTTGGTCCTATTTTGGTTTCTTCTTCCATTTAATAACCCTTATTTATCAAAGTGGATTAGAAAAATAGCTCAGAAATAGGACTTGAATAATTAAGAAAATCTATTTTCTAAACCGAGTCACGCAGCTGCTCAAGCAAGGTTCCAGTTTATCTGTACCAGTAGTCAGTTAAAAGAGTTCTTGAAACTTACTACTGGTGGTAGCTTGATCTGTTGGCTGTTGCCTGTAGTGACCCGATGTTCGTCACAACCTGGCAGATCCAGGACTTCCTGCAAGGATTGGTCTAAGTCCCTCCTAAAAACATCCATTTTTGTTCTGGCAATATTTCCTACATTTGGTGTAAGGAGGTTCCAGAGTCATGGGCCTCTGCTGTGCACACAGTTTTCTCCAACACGGTGCAACAGTTGGCTTCATTCTCAACTCACAACTGAGGATTTTGGGTTAGGTTCCCAGTCAGGACACATGGTAGGGCACATTTTTTCACCTAATGCCTCTATTCACCTAGCAGTAAATAGGTACCCAAGAGTTAGGCAACCATTGAGGGGTTTCATCCTGGGAAGGATCAGTAGTTCAAACTAGGGGAAAGGGGGGGGGGGGGTTCGATACAAGTTTTAAGTTATTTGAAAGGTAAAAATATTGTTGTGGCATCAATGAATTTGAAGGTTCTCATATAATTTCTTGGCTAATGCTACAAATTAGTGCAAGCAAACAAAAGCCTCTTGTGCAAGCCTGCCATACACCAGAACTAGAATCTGCTGCACTCATAGAAGCAAGGGGGGAGCACGGGGATTTAATAATTATTATTCTTAAATCCCAATGCTCCCCTTGCTTCTATGAGTGCAGCAGATTCTGGTTTTGGTGTATGGTAGGCTTGCACAAGTACAGAGGCAAAGAGGCAGTCCAGAGGCATAGTACTGTAGTTTTATGCACCTTATGTCTGGTGGTACAGTACACCACTCGACTACTGACGGCCTGCCGAGAAAATCAAAGATTGAACAAAGTGAACTTCGGAGGACTCTAGAACATATCTATATTTTCTATACCGTTATTTCTATTATTCTTATTTCTATACCATTAAAATTGATTAGTGAGGTTTCTGCAGGAACGTATCCCCAATATGAATTGAGGGCTGCCTGCAAGTAATTTACAAAATCCATTTTCAGTTAGGTAATAAATTGTGGGTAGAAATACAAACAGAACAATTAAACACCACTTTGCTCCACTGATGGTTCTCTCTGACTACTCATGGCCTTCACTGTGTTTATTTCACAATCCCTTACCCATGTGGTAGTTTTGCATATTCTTTCATGTTTAATCATCAATTACTTTCTCACTATTATGGGCTGGCTGAGCACAATGTAATTTTTATACATTTTTTTTTAATGCAAGTATGCATGAGTTAACTGCTTCACTTTATGGTAGAAAGATTAACATGTAGAATTCTTAATCAAAAGCCTCTACTGATCTTTCAAGAGTTCAATACTTAAGGGCATTTTAAAGGTTTGGGAAAGATCTACAAAGCTGCCACCTCATCAAAGATAAAAAGTTTGATTAAGTAAAGAGGCATTGTGGATATAGATTGACTTGGATTTAAATACCCAATACTGAAGATTGCTTTTGATCAGTTTATATTTAATTTGTGTAGAAACCTATACGCAAATATGAAGTACAGTATATACAAAAAAAACTTTACCTCCAGTAGCAAAAGGAAGTCCTTGGCTGGTTGCTTGCTTGCTGCCTTTACTTGATCTCTTTCTTGCTAAACCTTCTTGTGAGGCCTCACTGTGCAGTTCAGCTTCTTCTAGCATTTCTTCCACTTCTGGAGGGTCCTGACTCGTAAGAGGCACATCTAAAGCAGCTTGAGCCTCAAGAGATTGAAGTTCTGGCATGAACTCGGATATATCACTGTCGAGGGACACATTCGAAGTTTCTGCATAATAAAATTACCTGTATCAATTCAAATTTTGATTTAGCATTGACATTCTCTTTGCCATACCAAAGTTAACCTGATCATTTGATTATATATACAGTACTGTACAGTATATACAGTATACTGTATATGTGTGTATATTATATATATATATATTATAATTAAAATATTTTGAGGCAATAGAGACCACACTCTGGCCTACAGTAATGGCGTTCACACTCTTACAGCCCACACCAGATCGCCATGAAATCACAATGGAGTGATATATAAATGAAAATATTTTTGATGTACTGTAATGGAGTGAATTAAATCAGTTCTGGTGTTTCTCAGACATCAGTTCCCACAATTTTCTACTTACCTTGAAGCCGACTCATCTCTATATATATATATATACTGTATAAGATTTTAATCATGGCACTGTTTAATCAGAATTTTCATGAAATTACCGGTAATATCCAGTCTAGAAATCTCCAATTTCAGAATTTCTGGCAAGTTTATCCATCACTAGAATGAAAGAAAGCAATCATTCAGTACAAATTATACTTTAATAGTTCCACACCATAGTTGTCAATAAATGTACTGAATTAGAAGCCACCTATCCACCGAATGTTATTCAACATACTGTACTGTATTGTATATACAAAATGTATTCACCCATGCCAGAGACATCTCCTCGAAGAGCAACACGAATTTTGTTGAGTCGTTCATAAAAGGAATCTGGAAGGATATGGATGACGACCCCAGGTCCTGTCATTGCCACCATGAGCAATATATACACCAGCACAGCCCCAGGGACTAAGTGCCCAACTACGGCACCAACACTCAGCACTGTCGTCACAATGGCACAAAACTGAAAGGAAAAATAAAACCCATAAATTCCATGAACAAGTATAAGATAGTGACATCAAAAGTTTGATGTTATATCTCACGAGATAAGGAAAGAGGAAGGGGGGAGCATGGTACAAGAGAGAATATCTGGATTATGGCATGGTTATTTCAAAGGAAAGATAAAGGTCAGCATAAATAGGTTAAGTTTCAGAGGGATACTGCTGCTAGTGCAGTGCCCAAGGCCTCTGCCCTGGGACTTCTGCTGTTTACCATATCACTAAGCGGGGACACTAAGCCCCGGAAGCACCTCAAGGTAGCCTCAAGGTATGTGGATCATCGTACATATATTGACATAAAAGGCAATTAGATAGTAGAATTTAGAACTATTAAATTTAGAATTTTGTATTTGCAACATATATACAAAACCTCTTCCGGTTTGTGCGAATTCAATAGTACTTACCGATTTCTATCTAATTGCATTTTATGTCAATATATATACAATAGTCCTCATCGTTACTGTAAGCACTACCTAAACAGGAGGATGAGCTGTATCCAGTACATAAATAACTTAAAACAGAATTCATGAGCAACATTAACAAATTTGCTTATGAAACATGAATTCCTACGGGACGATTTGGAAAACTTAAAATGAACGAAAAATTTGTTATATAGTTTAATGCTAATAGTACAGTGTACGGTGGTGAAATGGTCAGAATCTGGCATAAATGTGCTCATTTCGCCTCGTGTGATTTGTTGATATACAAAAAAAAATGACCTTGAAAGTATGCGCTTACATTCTTTCATATATCTATTATTTGCAGCCTCTCTTTGATATTTCAGCCTTGAATGACAGCACCGTGTTCCTGCGTTTGTGATCATGGTTCCAAACTCTCCTCCTGATATTAGATGTTTGTCCAAGTATTACTTCATAATATTTCAGTGTCGGGGGACAGATGATTGACTGATAAAGATTAAGCCACCCAAGAGGTGGCACGGGCATGAATAGCCCGTAAGTGGTGGCCCTTTGGAGCCATTACCAGTATCATTATGATACTGGAGATCTGTGGAGGTGCAACTGCACCCTACGTGACGGGAGATGTCTCCCCCGTGGGGGGGGGGGGGGGGACAGGAAGCCAGTGTGTATTCATACACGTTAGGCTTTTTATCGAGGCCCCCCCCCCCCCACCACAAGGACGAATTACATACCCCGCCCAGGATGCAACCCCACAACAAGCTGACTAACACCTGAGTTAGCCAGCTTGCAAGCTCCTAACTTGCTGCTAGGTGAACAAAGGCATTAGGTGAAAGGAAATGTGCCCAACCATTTCTGTACCGCCCGGAATTCTCGATTGTACGTCGAGAACGAACCCGACTGTACTACTGGGACCCTCTTGTCCCGGTAGTACTGTCATTTATGTTAATTAATAGTAGTTATTTATGTTAATATTAACATATTGCAACACATAATAAAATATAATAAACTGGATAAGTTTAGATTTCGGAAAGCCCTGGGTAAATACTGGTTCGGCAACAGGATTGTTGATTTGTGGAACCAGTTGCCACATGGCGTGATGAAGGTGGGGTCCCTTGATTGTTTCAAGCGTGGGTTGGACATGTATAAGAGTGGGATTGGGTGGTTATAATTAGGAGCTGCCTCGTATGGGCCAATAGGCCTTCTGCAGTTGCCTTTGTTCTTATGTTCTTATTAATGGAATAAAACTAATGTTACGGTCTTGAAGCACAATAAGCATCAGCTGTGATCAGATGGAACAATGGCATAGCTAGGATATCGGCCTATTAATACTGTACTACTTCACAGCTCACACCCCTCCATCCCAAAACCAATTGTAAATTATATTTGTGCATGGCATTGTAAACAAAAAAATACACTATCAGCCAAAGAAATCGGTATTGTATTACACATCAATACTTGGCGTTCTGATCTCAACCCTCTCGTCCCACATCTTCGCCTCTACCCACCACCATGCGCAGCAAATCTCCCCTTAAATCCTCCACGCCATTTCTGCCCAAGGGGCCCACCTTGCCTCACGTGATGACATGAGTGCGGGTGGTAGTGGTTGTGCCATGTGGCCTACAAAGGTGCCAAACTTGCATCCGGCCCATGAGAAACCCTGGCATCATGTGCAGGGAGAAACGTCCGCCAAGCCATATAACCCTCCATCATCACCAACCTTTCTGGCACCACCACCAATCACCACTCGTGCGCATTAACCTGAACAAACCTCGACCATTAACCCAGTCTTGCATTACTTATCTACAGCCGTAGCCTCTAGACTTTAACAGCTAACTTTCCACAGATAATACATTTATTACTTGTTTGTTAAAAATAAAGTGACCTGCCCTCTTCCGCCACCAATTCCCACAATATCTACATAACTTGCACCATCCTACATATTCACCGGGAATCAGTAAAGTTTGTCTAAGTACGCCAAGTACAGATCCCCCAATCACAACCGCCTAACTTAAGTGCCAAGCAAAACAAGAATCAATCACTAGCACCAGCCACCTTGGTACGGATATAGAAGCCGGCAAGCCGCCCCTGAGCGCCTATGTCATATGCCCGGCTATAAACTCCTGCCGACCTACCTCACATGCACGACGCCTTCCTCTCTCAGTACAAAATTAAGCTTCGCCGTTGAATAATCGAAAATGAACATCTTTATTCAGGCCCGATAGTTGAAGTTTGTAATGTTATAATTTCCCATTTCATTGAAATGTTTGGCAGACCAATGAATTATTCCCTAAGTTATTTCGCAACAATCGTTAATAAAAATATAGTTAACGTTTTCAGTCATATGGGAGGAGATTATTTACTATTACTAATTATAGAGCTTGAAACCTTTTAGCTGTAGCATTTATTAGCATCACATAGCTAACTCTTGATTCACTACATAACAATTCATATAGTTTACGAATAAAACGCAGCGTTTCTGCCCGAAACGCTGCGCGTACTAGTGGCTTTACAAGATTGTAATTACTATACTATGTATCCTCACAATCCCAATGTACCTTCTTGTATATATAAATAAATAAATAAATAAATAAGTCTAGGGTTGTTGCATAAACGCAGACGTAAACAATCATCTACACCATGAATGAATGGAGCTACTACTACGACTTGCGTCTCTGCCATTGGACAAAAATATCATTCTAAGAGGAATGTCATGTACCCCAGATGCGTAGTAACTATTTTACCAGTCAAACAAAAAAAACAGCACATAGTGCAGTAATTTCCTTTACCTTTCACTAATAAAAATGATTACAATTTTAAAGCATATCATTTCAAAATTAAAAAGATTGATTGCAATGCTTTTGATCTAGCACCATCAAGAATGCATACAGGAAAGCATGCATAGGCATGTATACTTAAGACACTAAAAGGCAAGTATTGATAGACAAGTACGAGAATGAGGTTGTGTACAACATCGCCTTGGTTACACCAAGGGCCTCCCCCCCCAAAAAAAAACAACAACAGGCATTTATTGTATTAGTTAACAGTTTCAACGTTGGAAGGGTCCACACTGAGCACGGCTGGTTAAGTGACTTCCCGAAACGAACTTTTATGACAATGGAATCGCTGTGGCTTATTTGTCGATTCACCATTTCACCTATTAATATAATATTTGTAGCAAATGGGAAAAATGGTCCGATTATGAAATTAACGTAAGGTAATGAATTACAGCACGCACACACGAATTAAAATAAATGTAACTTCAATAACAGTTGTGCTGTAAATTTTGAAACAATTTGCTTTTGCCAGTTAAAGAAGTCAATCTTTCAGTGAAGGTATCAAGTCTTTGAGGGCCTTTAAACTGCTCCATTTTATTTAAAACTTGGAATTGGCCATTTGGACCCAAATCAAGAAATATTTACCTACAACCAAAATGTTTAGTGTGATAAACTAATGTGAAAGAGGCACGTCCGCGTGGCCTAGCCTCTGTTGATGTTCTTAACAAGTCCGCGTGGCCTAGTCTCATGTTTTGTTGATGCTATTTTTGAGTGACTGTGATGTGGTTGGCCGACACAAGTCCAGTGGATAATGCAGTCCTCCGGGTCCTCACAACGAACCTGGCCGCATGTTAGGCTCCTCCAACCGGCGGTCGACCCAATATGGCGCATTTGTCAATTTTAACGTACTGCGTATTCAAAATTTGTATTTTCTCAAATATAATATTAAAAATGCTAGAATGTATTATAATAGGCCTAACTTACGTTTGGTTAGGTTCTGTTAGTAATTATTAGTATTTGCAATACGTGGATGATGCATTTATAGATGAGATTCAAGTCGAGGACGGGAACTAAGCCCTGTTCGAGTCAAATATATGCTTTATATATAAGACACTACGGGCTCACCATAGCCCGTGTTACCTGGAACTTTTTTGTTTCAGGTAGCGAATCTTCAACAACATATCAGTTGTGTGTAGTGCTTTCCATTCATAAACAGGAGATTTGGCGAGTTGATTAACGCGACTCTGGCCTTTTGTTGATAGGATAAATCCTTCAAGTGGCCAAACTATACGACAAATATTTATCATGAATTCCATACAACCACGCAGCATTTCCGAGAACGGTGGTGGTGACCTTACTGTAGTAATTCCTCTCTAGTCCACGTTTCAGGAACAGAACACCTACTTATGGCGCCGCATGGTACGACTGTGGCGACGTACGGTGACGACGTGCGGTGTCGACTTACGGTGACGACGTATGGTGACGTAGTGGACGTCGTCACCACCTCTCGTCGCGCAACAACAAAAATAGCTAACTTAAATACGGCGCACAATGCCATATTGGTCCGGATAAACATTTATTGTTTACAATTCAAAGGTGACAAACATACGGCCGCCACCCTGCTATTTGTGGCCCCGCGACGCACTCTTCACTACGTTAACCGCACCTAACGTAGATAAATTCAAAGTACTGCATATGCATAGCAAATAATTATGTTCTTTACTGTTATGTCCATTTAAAAGCGTGTACCTGGATTGGGTTCTGGGAGTTCTA